AAGTCATGATGATTTTATTTCAGTTTATCAGTTCTGTGTTTTCCCAAGGGAAAACCAACTACTAATACCTGTGTGAATGGGGAAATTTCCCTATTCACCCAAAGTTGCAAAAAAATCTTTAACAGTTTCGTAGCTCTTAGGACCTGGCTCTTAATCTCCTTTTATTCCAGCTGGTGTTACTGCACAGTGGTCATGGAGGCAGGGGGTGGTAGAGTCTTGGTTTCCTGAACTGTGGTGGTTTAAGTAGTTTACTCTGTTCCTTAATTTAGTAGCTACAAAATAAGCACAGTAACAGTACCCACTGTATAAAATTGAAGGGAAAATTAAATCAAAGCATTCATACATGGGGCGTGGCATATCAACCACAATTTTTAGACCCTGTTAAAGTTGCCCTTCCTGGATTCTTCTTAGTACTCTACCTGGGCCCTAGGGCGATTTATTTATTGTTACCTTCATGAATCATGCAGACCTCCAAGCCCCTCCTCATACTTGAAACAATCTTTCTTAGTACACTCTCCAAAGTTTTGTTTTTTATTCTATTCTTTGTACTTCCTGAATTTTATCTTTTCCATGTAGACTTTTTGAAAACCAAACAAAGGAAAACTTTACAGTAGTTGCTGAATTTTTAGGAAAAAGAAGTGCTTTCTGATCATAGCATATTTTTCTTATCAGTGTAAGAACATGGAAATAGTTGAGTAAATGCAGCTTTTACTAGAAAATGCATCAATTCCAAAAGAAGATAAGTTTCACTGCAAAAACTCTCATAAACGTTCTTTAATCTGGAAAGTATTCACATAAAATAACAGACCAAATTCTTTCTGTCATTTTGTACTGTCACTTAATGTTTCAGTATTAAAGTTGGAAGGAAAAGAACCTTATAACCCTCGTTGAATCAAAGGGAATTCTATTAAATGCTTTCCTTTATTTAGGGAATCAATCTAATAATATTCTTAAAGGGGGGTGAAGAATTATACCATTATTTTCAGAAACAAAAGGAATTAAACGTTTTTTCCCCAAAAAAAGTAATAGAATGTGGTGTGTGTGTTTCATCTTTTAAAATTAGAGTGAAGATTGATGAGTAAACACCTGAGGTACTAATTACAAGCTGATTAACCAAACCACATGGCTATGGTTTTGCAAACTCTATTCTTTCTGCAGAGTAATGTCACAGTGACTCTGAACTCCTTTGGCACTATTGAAATCTGTTTGCAACATGCCATTGTGGAAGCTTTGTATTTCAGTGGGCATTGTATTTCATTCCTGGAAGAACACCACTGGAAATACCTGTTCCAGGGCAGGGTTTGTATTGACTGGGCCATTGTGAGTGTTTATACATAATCATTCCTGAAAATGCTGTCAGATTTTGTCTGCTTGCAAACAAATAATGTGCTATATTTTCAAAATAAACTAGCTCTTGGCCGGGCGCTGTGGCTCACGCCTGTAATCCGAGCTCTTGGGAGGCCGAGGCGGGCGGATTGCTCAAGGTCAGGAGTTCAAAACCAGCCTGAGCAAGAGCGAGACCCCGTCTCTACTATAAATAGAAAGAAATTAATTGGCCAACTGATATATATATAAAAATTAGCCGGGCATGGTGGCTCATGCCTGTAGTCCCAGCTACTCGGGAGGCTGAGGCAGAAGGATCACTCAAGCCCAGGAGTTTGAGGTTGCTGTGAGCTAGGCTGACACCACGGCACTCACTCTAGCCTGGACAACAAAGTGAGACTCTGTCTCAAAAAAAAAAATAAATAAAATAAATAAATAAATAAATAAACTAGCTCATTATTCCTAAAACCTACAAGTAACGTCATTTGTATTAAGGTATTTAAATGATGATATGTACTCCTTTTAAAAAAGAAAAGATTAAACTGCACTTATATTCAGCATACAGGTTTCAGGGATAGTGTCGATTGTATATTTGGTTCCTATTCCTTATAAACTGTAACTTCCTAAGTAAACCCCACTTTTACATTGAGCTATTTTGATAATATGAATTTCTTACAATACCTTAAGCCCCAAATTATTCTCTATTGAACTGATACCCTCCATTCCTATTCTGTGCTCAGTATCATATTATTACCACCTCCTCACCTTTTCTCCTGTATTCTCAAGACTGCTCATTGTTCTGCATATGATAATAACACTTCTTCCTGTTTGCACCCTGCCAGCCATCAACATATTGTCCCTGGGGCTGAGTGGTAGAAGTGGCACACATTGGCTAAGCCACGAAGATGGGCAAAGACTGGGGAAGCTGAACACAAAGGCACCATTAGAGGAAAAAATCTCAAAAGACTTTTACATAGAAACACAGGACTAAGAGAGGAGTCTGGGACCCATGGCATTTCAGTACTTCAAGGTGAGATTTGAGCATAGTTACAACTTGGATTTCAGTCTTGTCCCAAATGAAATAATCAATTAGGAAATCCTGGTGCCAAAGGGTCAGCACGGGTTCAAGTAGGTAAGCCTGCAATTTGGGAAATCTGACAGTGGGTCTCAGGGCCCCAGACCTTGTTACAATGGAGTTCAAAGGCAACAAATTCCAATAATCGTGCTTACTGTACAGAAGTGTTCGGTGGGGGGAGGAGAGAGCAGCGTTTTCAAGTACAGAACAAGACTGGTTTGAAGATGACCAAAAATCAGAGAACTGGGATTATAAGTCTCTTCTTCTCCCTTATCCACCTCAAGCTTAAATTGCTCAGTTTTTAAATCAATTCTTCCTTTTCTTTATATCTTATTATCTTTCCACAAATATGTGATGGCTCCCGTTTTAGAAATATCATACTTCCCCAAGTGTTCCATGTCATGGATTGAATTGCGTTTCCCCAAAAAAGAGATTTTGAAATCTTAACCCCCGACTCCTCAGAATATGACCGTATTTGGAAACAGGGTCATTGCTGATGCAATTACTTATAGTGAGGTCATACTGGAGAAGGGTGGGCCCCTACTCTGTTATGACGGGTGTCCTTTTAAGTAGATGATGTGAAGAAGATGCAGTCACAGAAAGAAGACACCTGTGTGAAGACAGAGGCAGAGATTGGAGTTACGTTGCCACAAGTCAAGGAACACCTAGGCTTTCAGAATCTGGAAGAGGCAACGAAGGATCTTCCAGTGGAGGCTTCTGGGGGGAACATGATAGTACCAAGATCTTGAAACCCAACTTCTAGTGTCTCTAAAACCATGAGAGAATGGATTTCTGTCATTTTAAACCACACATTTTGTGGCACTTTGTTACAGTAGTCCTAGGAAACTAACACACTCCATAGGACAATGATGGTGTTATTATATTCACTGTTGTATCCCCACTGTCTGCACAAGTGATTTGCACATGGTGGGTACTTGGTGCAAATAAGTAGACACATTTCTACCTTTTTCCTACTGCTCCTGGTGTATAAGTTCCATGAATTACATTTAGAGCAAGTGTCCCTCACAAAATGGGCCCTAGGGTATTTGTTGAATGAAAACATGAAGGGTCTCAAGTTTTATGCTTTTTTAATAGCCCATTTTTATTCAAATAAAGTTATGGGTAGAATAGTGGAAACAATAACACCCAGGAAATACAAATTAAGTCTATTTATGTATCTTCTGGAGTCTAATCTCCAGAGAGTTTACAACTTTGTATTTATTACTGTCACTGAAATATCGAAAAAATAGTACAATTCACACTCAGACTGCTCATGTCTGTGAGAACATACAGAGTGTTCCCACGGTTCTCAGTGGGATCATTGCTGGTTAGTGTATAAGCCCTGGAAAGAAATGCTCAAGCTTGGTTTATGTGAGCAAACTCCGTTGCTTCCTGAGTACTTTCCTTGCCCCCACCTACCATTTTCCAACAGGAAGGACGATAAGCAATATTTTTATTGCTATAACTTCTTGCAGTCTCAGTAGCACAAGAAAGTTCATTTTAAAGAGTTTATTACCAAATAATAATTTCAAAAAGGAATGAAAGAATATCACCAAGGACAAGACAGTTCAGCCAGCTTCAGTGTTATGATTATTCAGAGAACAGAAGCCACAGCTCTGCTGTTACTATAAACATGTCTTCCTTTTATTGGCAGATGTTTCGCTTAAATAAACATAATCAGGATTTGGGAAGATTCACCTTGGCAGCAGCTAAAATTCATGAATATTCACTAATCTCTTTGTGTCCCAGTTGTTCCTCCAGCTGCTCTGGAAATACATGTACGAGGGTGTGCTGGGACCAGGCAGCGGAGGGCAGGATGGGCCACTCGATGCTTCAGATTCTTTCACAGAACCGCGCTTAGGAGAGAGCATTTATTTTCTTTATATTTTCCTCATATACCATGAAACAGTACCTCTTTAATTTATATCATAGTACTCTATAATTCCCACCAAAATGCCAATACTGTGAGAAAGCTAATCACAATTTTATATTCCAATTGTCTTATCTTTTTTTTTCCATTTTGGATTTAGTCTTTGAGTTCTTTGTATAGTCACGATGAGTGTGGGGTGACATCTTTTCAGCTATCAAAAACTAACTGGGGGGGGCAGGTATATACATACATAATGAGTGAGATGTGCACCATCTGGGGGATGGTCATGATGGAGACTCAGATGTGTGGGGGGAGGGGGGAAATGGGCATTTATTGAAACCTTAAAATCTGTACCCCCATAATATGCCGAAATAAAACAAAAACAAAAACAAAAACAAAACTAACTCGGGGATGTTTGCAAGAAGGAGAAACCCACTCATGCCCACTTATGCAATGGGGGATTTACCATGAAGATGCAATAGATTTGGGAGGTGGGCTGGTGGAATCTCCCAGAACTCAAGGGCAAGTTATCAAGCTCATCCACAGAGAGTCAAAGTGCCCCCTTTCTTGGCCCCTCATCCCATCTTATCCTGTTTTTTTCTGCAGACCACATCTCTGTGTTTTTTTTTACCAGTATAGCTCAAAATGACCTCCCTTATTCCCAAGTCTCTGTACATTTCTATTACCAAAGAAAGGGCCCATCGCCTAATACTAAGCTTCTGTGTGTCTTAGGCCAATTCCTAGAGAGCCAGTCTGAACAGCTCAACTCTTCAGTGTGGTCAGATGTCCGTGTTGTCTAAGCAGGCAAAAAGGACAGCTGAGGCCCAACGCTTCCACTGTCCTGGGGAGAAGCAGCAGATTTGAGAGCAGGGTGTGCATCTGGAACACACTTCGGAAAGCACTGTAAAGCTATTCAGCAAAAGTGATCCTTTCTGGTTGCAGACTGTCATAAATGTAAGTTCCACCTTGATCATACCATTTGGTTCATGCAGAAATTGCTTCACAATTCTAATGTCTGGAAAAAAATTTATATAAAATGTTGATTTATAAATATGTGAGCAGAATATTGTTTCCTTTTGTATTATTTCACTTGGTAATTAGCAGTGATGTGCTGGCAGGTGGTATTACCTGTGTAAAAATAAAGTAAGAAATTCCTATGATGCTTGACAATTAGGATTCTTCTGGTATAGAATTTTATTGGTTTTGCTTCTATAAAAGTAAAATAAAATCCATAAGTTACTTTATAATTCCTGAGCAAATCAAGTAAGTCCCTTTAGACAACTGATATCTATTATATACCAGGACTTTCCCTGTGAATTTTTTTCTATGCTGCCATTAAACTGGCTCTCATACCTATAAAATAGGATTTGTAACTACTCTTCCAGAAAAAAAATTTATTTGATTAAACTGTTCTCTTCTTGGAATCATCTAAAGCAATCAACTCAGATTACAGAACAGTGATTTGCTTTGATTCATATGCTTCACACAGAGATAAGAGGAGATGTACAATACATTTTTTATTAATTTTCAGAGATCCAGAGTATTCAAGCATGAAAGTCTAACCAGACACCAATCAGAACATAAAGCCAACAAAATATGTAATGTTTATAAAATAGTCAATATACATGTATCATGCTTCATCAAGTGTTTATTATTGTATAATTCATACTGATAGTTGATGAATGAAAGGAAAGCCCATACATCTCATGTATGCAATGCAAGTTTTGCTTATCATTGTATCTGTCTTAGTGCCTAACACCTAGCATTACCTAATATTTGTTGCATGAATACAGGCGGATAATTTAGGTATGTATTAAGAGTGACACAAACTGCATAAGACCATCACAAACTCCCTGTTAAAATCCATCTGCAATATCATATAAAGTAACTAGGCAGACTATGGCATCAATGTGGGACTGAAGTTCAAAGCAGGTTCCAACAGTTAGCAGAGCCTGTGTCAGGAAAGGAAGTCTTGGGACATGGACACTCATTCCTGGGACCCTGGGAAACAGACCCAGAAATAAAGGCTCTGACTTGCAGAAGGGGCACCTTAGAGGTTCACATTCACAAGGGCTGGAGGAGGCAGAGACACAGAAAAAACGGGCTTGCTGACATCTACCATGGACCATGTGCTCACTGTCCTGAAAGCCAGCAGTATTTCCTATTTATATCCAAAAGCCACAAAATATCAGCAAATAAGACACATTAGTCAAGTTCTTTCATTCTGAGACAATGAGTATAAGGCGCTAGCTCCAGAGTTCAGGACATGTGAGCCAAATGAGCAATGACATCAGCAAATAACTTTGTTCCAACACAAAGAAGGCAGGTGTGAAGAGGGTGATGAGACACAGATCTTCCAGAACCAAGTCTGAAGTAAAACCATTTTGCTTGGAGAGCTTTGAAATGAATCAGGCTCGCTAAACCTGAAGACGGGACTCCGTGGTGTCAGGCTGATTGAAAATCAAGCAGCAACAGAGAGATAATATGACAAGGGCATTAAGCTGGATCAGGCTGTCTAGAGGGAGACACAAAACAGTGACGTTAGCCAGTTCTTTCAGAGGATGCTTACATCTATAAGTAGTATGCAACCCACACAAACGTGTATATTCTAGGAGTTAATATTAATAGGATTAGCATCTTAGGACTTAATACTTCACGAAAATGAATCCAGTATTATTTAGATTATGAGTGACTAACAGTTATTTGTTCTATTTTGTGGTAGACTTGCTGATTTATAGTTGTTTGTTGTCCATGTTTGTTGACCTGTTCAGTTGCACTATTATCCTCAGGGGGAGGGGGGTGAAAAGTCTTTCAGTGTATTCCTACCCACCCAATATATACATGGGGAAGATATAGGTAGATTGATGGATAGATAGATAAATATAGATAGATGTAGGCATCCTTCAGCTAATACTGTTTAGCTAATTAATCGAAACAGAATAAACCATATGTTCTTAAAGATATCCTGCTAGTTCTGATGTGACAAGAGATATGAAGAGAGGCAGCTGGAGTGAGCTGAGGATTGTACCAGAAAGAGCATCAGAGAAGGTTTTCTGGCTCTTCTATCATTGGTAAATCCCTGTCTCTATACTTTAGTTGTCAGATATGAGAAACACTAAGTTTAGACTAGATGATCTCTAAGTGTCTAATTTTTACATCTGAAAATTTCACTGTGTTGCGTGACTTGCAACTTCATTGTCTGCCATTTGTAGATAACAGCCTGGCCATTCATGACCTGCATTCAACAGGATGAATGTCTGGTGAAACTAAGGAAGACTGCGCTTCAGGGCTCCTTCCTTAGGTGGAACTGCTGAGGTCTGGGAGTTGCAAGGTGGTGCAGCTGATTCTAGGTAAGGAAGAAACCAGGCAGGGAAGACATTTTTGGTAAATCGACTGACAAATTTCAGAAAAAAAAAATTGAATCTCTAAGACTCCAGAAATTGGCTGTGTTTTCTTTTGTCATTCTCAACTAATACTTACTATCATGCCTACTTTTGTATGCATAATTTTGCATTCTATTTTTTAAAAGGGGACCACCTCTCCCAGTTAAATTGTGTGGCTTTAGGCCCCATAAACACCTGGGTGGGGTTCCACCAGCAAGTTTTTGTAAATCTTTGGCCCTGGCTTGCTCCTCATGCCTGCATCATTGATGGATGATTTTCTCACTTCTTATTCTCTAAAATGCTTCCCAAGCTTTTTGCAAGCTTTGCCTCACCTTTCACTGAGATCTGGGAAGCCAGGGCTGTCCACCTTAGGTGGCAGGGAGTCACAGGAGGCCTGAAGGCCTTGACTGATGCCTGACAGTTTCCAAAGCCTGAGGGCCTGGAAGCTGTCTTGGTGTCCCCTGCATTTTCTCAAAGCTCACCGCAACCTCAAACTCCTGGGCTCAAATGATCCTCCTGCCTCAGCCTCCTGAGTAGCTGGGACTACAGGCATGAGCCACCACACCCTGCTAATTTTTTGTTTCTATTTTTAGTTGACTGGCTAATTCTTGTTTTCTATTTTTAGTAGAGACGGGGTCATACTCTTGCTCAGGCTGGTCTCGCACTCCTGACCTCAAGCAATCCTCCTGCCACAGCCTACCAAAGTGCTAGGATTACAGGCTTGCGCCACCGCGCCCGACCAAAAATGGAAAACTTATTACAGTTTTCTGAACTTCCCAGAATGATCAGTTGAAAGTTAACTGCTTTCTAAGAGAGTATCTAGGTTTGCCCCACCACATGCAAACTTGACTTTTAGTCTGACAACTCTTTTCCTAGCATGTGGACCACACCTGCTTCTCTGGGCATTTTGCAGTCATTGCCTCACTCCTGTCCCGACCAAAAATTCTGACAGTAGATCAATCTCTTGCTTTTCCAGCTCTTCTTCCCATATATTTCATTAACTGGCCTATCGATCTTACTTTTCAAAACTGGGTATAGAACTAAATAAATCCAGTTGAAAGTCATTTCAAGAACAAGTTACACAGAAATTGACTGGACTGTGAAGCTCAATGACATTCTTATGGAATATATTTTTCCCAATGCCAAAAATCTAAAAATTACAAGACATTCTTACTTTTCCTCTTTATGCTCCTTTTTGCTATTATAATATCTGTTATTAAAGCATTTTGTTCTTTGCACCATTTTTAAGAGGATATTTAATCTTAAAAGCAAATTTTTCCATTCCATTTTACCAAACAATTTCTTTTATCTCAAAGCCCTAAAAGGTCAATTTTCAGTTTTATTTGGATTATAAAAGAACATATTGGGAAAGATTTATTTTATGTTTCATTTATATGGCATTGTAGAAGAGTATTGTGTATAGAAGTTTTTATTATTTATGTAAAGAAAGAGATAAAGTCTACAAAATATTGTTATAGCAATTAGGGGAACACTATGGCCTCCATTTCTAACTGAATAGCTCTATTTTCAAAACTTAAGGCATAAAACTTATAAATTAAAAGCCTTGTCTTTTGAGGGTGTTTAGGTTAAGATTTTTATAATATTTAAGGAAAGAGAAACAAAGATTATTTAGGGGAACTGATATCCTCTGCAATGGATCCCCAAAATGGTACTATCTGTAGAAAACCCTACCCCCTTGTTAGGTGAAACAGTTTGATTTTCCCTGGGTTTACAGAGTAAAAAACCTTAATGTCCTCTGGGAAATAGCTAAGCTGAATTCCTAAGAGAACCCATGAAAATCTACTAAATGGGATCTGAGCCCATCAGCACCACTGTTTTATTCTTTTTAATATTTTTTTTGTTTTTCTTGTTTTAATAATTTATCTTCTCCTGGAGTAAGACAGATCAAATTGATTATTGTTATGGATTAAATTGTGTCCTCCCCCCCCCAAAAAAATAATTCATATGTTGAAATCCTACTGCTTATAGTCAGAATGTGACCTTATTTGTAAACAAAGTTGCTGCAGATGTAATTATTATGATGAGATCATACTGGAACAGGGTGGTCCCCTAATCCAATATGACTGGTGCCCACACAAAAGGGGGGAATTTGGACATGTACATGCACATAAGGAGACCTTACTGTGAACATGAAGGCAGGGGTTAGGGGTGTGCAGCAGCAGCCAAGAAATGGCAAAGTTTCCCAGCAAAACACCATGCTAGGAGAGAGGCATGAAACATATTCTCCCTCCCAGGCCTCAGAGGAAATCAGCCAAACCAACACTATTTTTTCAGACTTCTGACCTCCAGAACCTTGAGACAATACCTTTCTGTGTTTATGCTGCCCAGTTTGTGGCACTTTGCCATGGCAGCCTAGCAAATGAATACTACTGTGATCACTGTTCTTAAGAAAAGTCTGTCAGGGTTGATGCAAATTTTCTGAAAGATAACTGCATATATGCACTCAAGAAAAAATGAGTAATATCTAAGAATATCCTGCCAAATGTCCCTTTTTAAAGTTTTTCCAGTTTCTTGCCCATTTTACATTAGTATCTCCATAGTTATGGAAAAAAATATATCTGTTTATATCTTTTAAAATGGAACTTATAATTGGATTTGACCACAAACCTATAATTTATCTTCTGAGCAAAGTAACAAAAGACATCATTACCTCCTTTCCCATTTCCAGAAGCGTCTCCAGCAATCCCTAAGGGGGTGTGGCAGTGTTCTGCCACAAGACCTGTCTCTATGCACTCTCCCAAACCCTGAGCGAGCTGCGTTGCCTGCTCAGGGAGACCATGATATCTCACACATTGCAGCAACCCCCTTCAACCAGAGGGAGGAAGAATTGCAGGTAATATGTACATATTTTTTGACATTATTCTTTATAGGGAACAAAAAGCATATCGATCCCTTGGAAAATGATGAGAATTAAATTATTTCATGTACAGTGTTCACCTGAGGTTATTTGTGACAATCGTAGTCACCGTGAAGAACATTGAATAATATATAGCCTCAGGATATGAATGTTTAGAATAGAGTCAGACAGCATAGCAAACCGGTACTTCTCAACGCGGGGCAAAGCTGGCTCAGGAATGCAGAGAGGGAGGGCATTGCAATGAATTTGGCAGGAGAGAGACTACTGGCATTTAGTAGGCAGGATTTAGGTATGATAAGCATCCTATAATGCACAGGACAGGCTTTTTGAGAATACCAGCATGACCTCATGTCTTCTTCAAGGCACAGCCTGGGTTGGCATTCCTTCTGTACTCAACTTTGGTACGCTGTGGAGTAAACAGAAGATTTCTCTGTACATTCTTTAGGATATTCTAAGTCTTGACAAACATGGAATGTGAATATAGCAGACAAGTAGTGGGTCTAGAACCCGTGGTTGTTGCTGGATTGAGTACAAATGGAAGTAGGCTGATGCTGTAAAAGATACTCTTTTCTAACAAGCTGGGTAGGCCAGTTACATTTGCACGTGGATACACATGTAGCAACACTGTTTCTGAACGAGAGTTGTTAGGAAGATTAAGTGAGTTGCTATATGAAAGTTGACTGCTTAAGTTGAGCCCTCATGACCTAGTCACCCCCTAAAGGCTCCACCTCTTATTAGCAACACACTGGGGATTAGATTTCAACATAGGACTTTTGGAGAGAGACAAACATTCAGACCATAGGGTCCCCCCACCCCAGAGAAAGTGTATAAGTTATTAGCACATAGGAGCCCTTGGTGATAAACTGAAAGGTATAAGCTACACAGTAGCTTGAAGTTCTCACTATAAAATGGGGTAGTTGGTCAACACTATGGTGCTCACATGGCAGTAATATTCTCCAGGGATTAGGGGTTAGGGGAGTAAACTCACAACTAATGGTCGCTGTGAGCACTGTAGATGTGAAGGGCATGCCTCTAATCCTCACTCGGGTGAGGCAAAGACATAAAATGTAATCAAAATGTTTGTACCCTCATAATATCCTGAAATAAAAATTAAAAAATAAGAATAAAATGGGGTAGTTGATCCCTGTTGGAATGAACTTTGTGGATAAGTAGATCTTATTGGCTCCATGTCACTCACCCAATACAGCTACAGAGAGAGGGTATGTCCCTGTGAGTCTAGACATTTTAGGCACAGTTACTCTGAAGGAGGAAGCACAACACAGGAACCAGCTGGCCTCTGTATTTTATTCTGGTCAGAGGTGGAGAAACAGCTGAGAACAGGGGCAGGGTGCCTGGGAACTCAGGACGCAGAGCTCTGATCTCCTCCATCTGTAGAAAGAAAGCTCAGGAACCCTGAGCCAGAGGATAGCAGCCTAGGGTCGGGGATGGGGATATCTTCGTTTCCAGCAGCTGCAGTTGGGTGGTAAGACTGTCCATCTGCAGGGCTGGGCACCAATGTCCAGGGCCAGGGCAGCGACAGGAGCTCCAAGTTTGTCTTTACCCATGAAACAATTGTAGCCCAGGACATACTTTACAGATTCCACCATGAGAGCTCTAGCACAAGGCCCCACATAGAAGTACACCCTTGTCTTGCAGTTTAATGCCTCGCTGACTCATTCTTGAAATCCGTGACAATTTTACTTTTGTAAGTGCCAGCTGATGAGACAATAAAGCATTTGCCAGGGGCTTAAAACCTCTGCTTATACATAGTCCTGCCTCCTATTGGCTCACTCTAATGCTGCCTTTCTATCTCCCTGGGATGGGATTTTGGCCACTTGCTCCCCAGCAACCGCTGTTGTTCCTGCCCTCTGCCCCCAGTAGGGGCCTGAACTTGGGGTACAGGTGAGTTTAAGGTCAGGTGTGCGAGGCTCCCAGGAGTCTGTAGTAGTCTGCATTTAACTGGTGTGTATCCCTGTGTCCAGGGCAGCATGACATTAAATAGCAAATAGAAAACACAATAACAGATCCAGAGATCCACCTGTGCAGTGCAGAAAAAGGAAATAACTTTTTCCTGCTTTTTGAACAAGGGGCACACATGGGCTCTGGGAAGCTGGAATATGGTTTCAGTCCCAGAAAATGATCATTTTCAGGCACTGTCATTTTGGTCAAGCATAAGTATGACCATCAACGTTGTCTAGTATCCCTGGCAAGGTGAGTTGGCAAAGGTTTGACCCCACATCCAAAGCAGGTTTTTATGGTGTGATACTTCAATGAATTAAGAATATTAACAATTCTTTTGCAATAATCAACAAGGTTCTACAGAAGATTATCATAGGGAAAAGAAACAGCATTCCTGAATTATATCAAGCTCCCAGTTTGGGGGCTTCCACCATCATTCAAGGCAATTTTAACTGAGCAGCGTATTGCAGGACTGTACACATAACCTTATAAGAAATTATGGGGAATAGATACTCTATAGAGAGCTGCTGATTTTTATTATTGAGTCCATTTCTCAACATATTTTCTTAACATTATTCTCAACATTATTTTTCTATTATATTTATAAATTATATTTATTATATTCTATTATATTTATAAAATGATATGTGGTATATGAATTTATGTACATATATTTTATATATGTTACATATATATTTATATATGTTACATATATATTTATATTTTATATATGTTACATATATATGTTACATATATATTTATATAGATATTTTATATATGTTACATACTAATATCTACACAAGGCCCCATAAGAGCAGCTACATACTGATATCACCTAGGTTTATATCTTTATTTCTCTAATCAAAACTAACATTATTCAATTAGTTTTATTTTAAGTAAAATCATTCAAATTCCCTTAGGGAATTGATTTCCAACCCTTTCCAACCACTTTTCTTCCCTCTGAGTACTTTCTTTAAGATCTCTTGAGCCCAGCAGTTTGAGGTTGCAGTGAGCCAGATGATGCCACTGCACTCTAGCCTGGACAACACAGTGAGACCCTGTCTAAAAAAAATAAGAATGCATTTTGGAAATAAAATACATTTTATAAATAAATTATTAATGATGAGACAATATATTTAAAAGGCATTAGTAAGTGACAAAAATCAGATCACAAAAAATTCATACAGTATTATCCCATCTTGTTAATAAACACATGTACATATATGTGCAGGAAACAAAAAAAAAATATAAAGAGCAACATTTTAAGAACTTGTGGATGGTGGAATTATGGATGATTTTTTAAATTCTTTTTTAATCTAGTTTATGAAATTATATCATTAATGCGATTCTATTTTATATCTACAAAAATAAAACAGTATATAAAAAATATGTATATCTTTTCTGATTAGATCTAGGACAAAGCAAGTGAGGTATTAGTAGAAAATAGGGTCTTTCACAATTTACGAGGTCCAACTGTGTTTGCATTTTTAATGTTATAGGTCAAACAGATGCCACTACTTACAAGATTCCTCTTCATGAGACTAAGCAGATTGATTTCAACATAACATCTTTCCCAGTACAATCTTCCCTTAAGAAACTCTAACCACAGTCATATACACTACTATGTCACTCCTTGAAAAAAATTAACCTCATTTGGACATTTTAAAAATTACTTCATACTAATATCACCAAAGAAATTGTGTAAAAGTTCAGTTCATTAGATATGAAAATAAAATTACATTTTTCTTGATAAAGCATTTAATCCTCCAAAATGAGATCACTGAATATTTAGTGTTATATTCTTTCCTGACCTAAGATTTTCTTCTAAAGCTTTCTTTAGATTAACACCATGATTGCATGTCTAAAATAATATCTTTTTGGTTTTTATGAGAATATATAAAAGGAAGAGTTCTTCAGGTTCTCCTCCCCCGCCCCAACATTTTTTTTCAATAACATATACACACAAAAAAGAGTTCTTCAGGTTCTCCTCCCCCCCCAACATTTTTTTAAATAACATATACACTTTATAAAATTCAGATGAACATGAAAACATAAAATATAGAACTTCGATCCTATGTGTTAGGATGAGAAGACAATGTATTAAGAAGTGTGGTTTTGTCATGTTTTCAAGCAACAACTCATGATGTGCTGGCTTGACAACGTTTGTCTATCCCTTTGTAGAGTGGCAACCCCCACTGCTGCTACAAGATGAGCTTTGTCTCCAGATATTTAGAAATGCCATACAGAAATGAAGAATCAAGGATTTCATCAAGCATAATGATGAATCTTTATGGGGGTAAGAGAATGGGAGGTGGTGTTTTAGCAGCTAGAAGGGAGCAAAAGGTGAGCTTCTGGAATTCTGTTAGTTCTGTTTCTTTATCCGTATGTCAGTTACACAGGTGTGTTCAGATTGTAAAATATTCAGTTACCTGTACACTTATGACATGTGCCATAAGTTCCATACAGTGATAGTCACATTAATATTGCTCCAGGTTCTATGAAAATTAGCTATGTGTTATGTTTGCAGCCAAACATTTTCTTAAGGATAATCTTCATTAAAACCAGTAGGAAAAAATAAATAAATTCATTTTACGTGATTAGTTTATTCCATTTTTATTGTTGTAAAGTTAAAGTGATTTTATGTGTATTATTAATACAGTTTTCTTAGGTGTAAACTTTGTATATTTGAAAAAGAAAAGAAAATATGACAAACATCCGAAGAATGCCTGTACCTAGACCATGTTGGCAATTGATCAGAATAGATTTTAACAAATTATATTTAAATGGCTCTGAAGTTCGCATGTCTTATCTAATTAGGTTTGCTACAATCTTGGGACTCTAATTAAAAGTTTCCTATTCAGTGTGAAATTTCTAAATACAAATAAAATAATCATACCATGTAACATTAAAGTGACAGAGGCTATTAGCAAAATATCTGCACAATGATATTAGATGTGTTAAATTAGTATGCCCATACTTCTTTAGACAAGGCTGAAGCAAGTAAGAATAAAAGATAGCTCTTCTAGGAGTGAGAAAGACAACCACTCCTATTGCTTTGTCAGAAAAAGCAATAGTCACCAAAGCATGAGGCAACTGTTGTTACAGGGATGTCCAAGGCATTATTTGAGCACAAAAGATAAAATCATTAACCGTCTTTGGGCAACATGAAGAAAGATGGCACATGTGTAGTCTTAAATTAACTAGCTAAGCTTGGGCAAGTCTCCCAGTATTCTCACAGACTTAAATTTCCTTATCTATGGAACACAATTCCTAAAGCTAACACTTTGGTTTGTTTGACATTAGAGAAAGAGTATTTGTAAAGAGCCTGGCAAAATGGCTACCCATTAACTAACAGCACTCATGGGAATAGGCACTTTGCAAACCGTAACTGCTGTTCAAATGTTATTTATTGTCTTCATTTTATTTCAAATATCAGTAAGAAACTATTCTAGGCAGATTGATCATTTTAACTCTTCTTTGCAAATTATTAATTTCCTAACATAAAATTTTTAATCACATCTTAATTTGTATGATCAATTCAAAATGTTTTTTAAAGTTTTTGCAAATTTATGGGGTACATAAGAAATTTTTTACATGTATGTAATTCATAGTGATCAAATCAAGATATTTAGGGTGTCCATTGTACAGGTACAATACATTTTTAAATAGTTATCCTACGCTGCTTTCAAATATTGAATTTACTGTATTTTTGTATACTTTAACCCACTTCTCATCCTCCTCCCTCTTTAATATTTTTTAATAATTTCAGGACAATTGGTATTAGTTCTTGTCTGTACATTTGGTAGAATTAAGCTGTGAATCCATCTAGTCCTGGGCCTTTCTTTGTTGGAAGACTTTCTATTACTGATCCAGTCTCAATACCTGTTATTGATCTGTTCAAGATTTTTTATTATTCCTTGTTTCAATCTTGGTAGGTTGCATCATACCAGGAATTTATCCATCTCCTCAAAGTTTTCCAGTTTTTCTGTGTATAATTGTTTGTAATAGTCTCTGATGGTCTTTTGTATTTCTATGGTATCAGTTGTAATGTCTCCTTTTCAATTTTGGTTTTATTTATTTGGCTCTTCTCTTTCCTTAGTCTAGCTAGTAGTTTATCAATTTTATCTTTTCAAAGAACCAATTTATCATTTTGTTGCTCCTTTGTATTGTTCTTTCAGTCTCTATTTCATTTATGTCTAGTCTGATCTTTGTTATTTCTTTTCTTCTGCTAGTTTTGGGTTTGGCTTGGGGTTGTGTTTGAGGTTTGGCTTATTATTCCTTTTCTACTTCTTTGAGTTGCATTGTTAGATTGTTAGTTTGTAATCTTTCTATTTTATTTTTATGTATTGCTGTAAATGTCCCTCTTAGCTCTGCTTTTTCTGTGTCCCATAGGTTTTGGTATGTCATGTTTCCATTTTCATTTGTTTCAAGGAAGTTTTTGATCTCCATCTTCCTTTCTTTGTTGATCCAATGGTCATTTAGAGGCATGCTGTTTAATTCCATGTATTTGTACATTTTCCAGGTTTTCTCTTGGTATTGATTTCTAGTTTTATTCCATTGTAGTCTAAGAAGTTATTTGATTTGGTTTAGATTTTTTAAAAATTTGCTGAAAATTGTTTTGTGTCCTAACAAATAGCCTATCCTGGAATATGTTCCATGGCTGATGAAAAGAAATGTATATTCTACAGTTGTTGGATAGAATGTTATGCTAGGTCCATTTGGTCTAAAGTCCAGTTTAAATTCCATATTTCTTTGTTGATTTTTTGACTAGATGATCTGTCTAATGCTGAGAGTGAGGTGTTGAAATCCCTCATTATTATTGTATTGCAGTCCACTTCTCTCTCTTTATATGTAGTCATATTTGATTTATGAATCTGGTTGCTCCATTATTTGGTGCATATATGTTTATAATTGTGATACCCTTTTGCTGTTTGATCCCTTTATCATAATATAATGATCTACTTGTCATTTATTTTTAAATGGTCTTGGCTTAAGGTCTGTTTTATCTGATATAAGTACACCTACTCCTGCACACTTCTGGTTTCCAGTTGTGTGAAAGATCTTTCTCCATCCCTTTACTTTCAGTCTACATGTGTCTTTGTTTTTAAGGTGAGTTTCTTATAACGAGCATATGGGATAAGACTAAGGATCATGTTTTTCTATCTATTCAGCTATTCCATATCTTTTAAGAGGAGAATTTAATTTATTTACATCCAAGATTATAATTGACATGTGACGCTTTGTTCCTGTTATATTCTTGATTATTTTCTTGTTGTTTTATATATTCTTTTTTCATTTTCTTCTCTTATGGTTTGCCACTGTGTTTTGGTGTATTTCTGTAGTACAACTTGAGTCTTTCTCCTCCTTCTTTGCATACCAGTGAATTTTATGGTTTCTTGTGTTTGCATGATGGTAAATGCTGTCCTTTCAGGTTTAGGACTCTCTTAAGCATTTATTATAGGTGCAGTTTAGTAATAACAAAAATTCCCTCAGCATTTGTTTGTCTGGGAATAACTTTACATATCTTTCATTTATAAAGGTTAATTTTTCTGGATATAGTATTCTTGGGTGACAGCTTCCCCCCCCCCTTTGGCACTTTAAATACATCATTCCACTCTCTTCTGGCCTATAAGGTTTTTGCTGAGAAATCTGCTGTTAGTCTGATGCAGTTTCCTTTATAGGTGACTAGCTGCTTTTCTCTTGTGTTTTTCAGATTTGTTCTTTGACTTCAGTCACTCTGATTTTAATGTGCCATAAGGAAGATCTTTTTGCATCATATCTGCCTGGGAGTTAATGAACCTCCAGAATCTGAATGTCCAAATCTTTTGCTAGACTTGGGAAGTTTTCATCTATTATTTTATTAAATATATTTTATAATTCTTTGTAATTATAATTTTTTGTAATTGTAATTCTTTATAATTCTTATAATTCTTTGCCCTAGAGGATACCAATAATTTATAAATTCAACCATTTTTTGTTGTCCCAAATGTCATGAAGGCATTGCTGACTCTTTTTTATTCTCTTTATTTTTGTCTGACTGTCAAAAGATCCGTCTTCAAGTTCTGAGATTCTTTCTTCTGCATGATCTAGTCTATTGTTGAAGATTTCAAATGGATTTTGTATTTCCTTTAATGAGCTCTTTAGCTCTATAATTTCCATTTGGTTCTGTTTTAAATTTTTCATTCATATCCTGAATTGTTTTTCCAATTTCTCTTTATCATTTTTCAGGATTCTCTTGTAACTTTCTGAGCTTCTTTACTATCAATATTTTGAATTCTTGATCTGGGATTTGAAAATTTCTTTTTGAGTGAGATATATTGCTGGAGAATTATTGTTTATCAAATTTTCCTTTGGAGGTACCATGTTTCCTTGCTTTTTCATATTTCCTGTGTCCTTATGTTGATATATGTGCATCTGGTGTAATAGTTGCTTCTCCCAATTTTTGAATTTACTTTCATGGGGAGGACTTTACCTGAAGTTGTATCTGTGGTGTTGAGTGGGTAGGGAATTTTGGCTTTCATTTTGGGTGGATGCAGTAGAGTAGCCTTTGTGTTATTCCTCAGTGCTACTGCTGCTGGGCACTAGGATAGTGTGCAGTTTGCCAGAGGCTAGTTTTGAAAATGGCCCCCTGCTGCAGCTGCTTAGGTCCTGGAAAATATGTGTGACACAGCACAACCCCTGCCCCAACTGAGTACTTCCATCCCTCTGTCTCCTGGCAGGTTCCTATGTTAGTTATAGGGGTTGTCAGGGATGAGTGGTCCTCTGGCAGCAGGGATATGGCCTCTGGAAGTCTCTTATCTACCACTTCCTCATTTTGGGAAGATGATCCCATCCAGAGAGGCTGCCTCTCCTTCTCCTTTGGTGTCCCCTGTCACTTCTCTGTTGAATTTCAGTGTTCTTTCTTGGATAATGTATTCAAAGTGTGACTGTCTATATACTATGCCGCTTCTTCCATGTGGAGGAGGCAGGCACAAAATGCTTCCAGTTAGCCATCTTGAACCTCCTTCCACTCTGATGTCTCCTGTTGACATTGTTTATAACCACTGGACTAAATGTGCAAATTACGATTCAGATATCATTATGATGTAGCCTGTTTTCTTATGCCTTCCAAAGTGAACGAAATTCATTTAAAATAAAAATTTACCCCAGGCCTGCAAGTGATTTGAGTTTTTATGCCATTGTCTATAATTCATTCATTGATAAATATTTTTGAATACTAACTGGGCTGCTCTGGGAGCCCAGAATGCAATAGTGATCAACACGATGACCCTGGTCCTCATGGAGCTTACATTAGAACAGGGAGACAGACAATTAACAATAACTATAATAAACAAATAGTATAGTATATTCGTAGATGATAAGTGGTAGGGGGGGAAAAGAGCAACGTAGGGGAAATTTGGAATGGGAAGGGTAGTTGTCATTGAGAGTGACATTTGGAACTTGAAGAAAGTTAGGAATTTAGCCAGGCCCTTATCCAAGGGAATAGCCACCCAAAGGCCACAGGCTGGAGGAGGCTCCTATGGGGCTGGAGCAGAGTGAGAGGGGAAGTGGCATGGGGGAGGGAACCAGGTGGTAGCTCATGGGGGGGACTTTGTCTTCCTCCTGGAGTGAAATGCAGTGTTTGAGTACAGGATCAAAATGATCTAAATTGCTGCATTTTTTTAAAAAAAAAAATGCATTTTAGATTTTAAAAGGATCAGCAGATCAACCTGTCTGCTGTGTTGAGAGGGCACCACAAGGACACCAAAGGTAAAGCAGAGAGACAAGTTTAGGAGGTGATTATCCTGATGAGAGATGCTAGTGGTTCAGATGAGCACTGTAACAGTAGTTGTGATCAGAGTGGTTGGAGTCTGTATATATTCTGAAGGAATAATCAACACTGATTTCTGACAGATTTATGTTGGATGTAAGAGGAGATAAGTAAATGCATCTGTTTCATCTATTATGAGTGAAAACATCGTATTTTTAAACTTAAAACCTTGTATACTTTTGCTTGCTCAAAGTTTTCTTTCTATTGAGTTGCACACAATTAAGCTGCATGTGAAGTAAATGAAAGCTTTATTAGCATATTTTGCCAAAGGTTGACATGGTGATTCTTGGGGAGAGAAGTCTCTACAATTAAGTCTTAGAAAATGGGGTGAGCTGCCTGCCGTGTCCCTTTGCTCTGAGCTTTGGGATGATAGCTACATTGTAGATGTCAATTTATTTCATCTCCATCAACCAAAATTGAAGTGGCATTTACTGATTTCATTAAGTGAGATTCTGCTTGGTTTTGACCTTGGATTTTCAAATTTGTGACTTCTTATTCTTCTTTGCAATCTTTGCAGCCTGTCGTGGAAGAGAATTTCATCTTACTGTCATGAGAAAATTACTTCCAGCTCTTTCAGATGTCAGAATCCTGTCATTTCTGCAGGTGTGGCCCATTGTGACTCAGGATATGAGATGAGGCTTTGGATTTTTATTGTCACTTTCTTTTCTTTGAAGTATCTATGTGCACACCTCCCCTCCCCGCTCTACCTCTGTATGCACCTGTGTCACAGCGAGTATTGTTACCTAATTGCTTTGATGCCAAAGATGAGCTATTTTACTCTCTTAGGTTCTACTTGTAGAGAAGATAATCCCACAACAAAACTTTTGCTATCCATAAAGGTTTTGTTCACCATCCACATAAGTGATGGAATACCCAAAATACCTATATAAAATAAATAAATAATATTGATTGATTAATTCATTGATTGGTTGATAAAAGACTGGGTCTCTTTTCCTTAGGGAACTCTCTGCAGACTATCAAAAAAACTGATTGGTTAAGGGGGAAAAGTTTAATGTCCACCTCAGACCTGAGTAAATATAAGGTCATCTCTTAACTCATTCGCAGTATCTCTATATTTAACATTTTGTTTTTAATAAATATGGTACGTTTGTGTCTCTTTAGGGAACCAAGAAAATCTTTCTTGCATACTTCAAGGAAGGGTTATTTATTTTAGTCTGTATTGGTTATTTGAGGCACTTTACATGTATTGAAATTTTATAGGTATCAGGATGGAAAATAAAGCTATTCTCTTTCACCATAGGCGGAGTTATCTCTTATCCCTGCATCTGAGTGTGGCACTCCTCTCCCACACACAAAATGCTGCTTTTGGAAGAAATCATGCGTACTGTATCTCTGTAATTTTGCCACTACCACTACTGCATATAGTGTTTAGAAGAAATAAGAAACATGCGGAGCCAACATGAGCTTTTCTGAGATGTCAGATGCCTTTACACCACTCCTAGATTAAAGCAAGAAATAAATAGTCTGTTAATTCAACTTTCTATATTTTTGAGAACCATTAGACCACTTCTGGAATAAGGCTAGTTATATCTTAGTTGTCACAACCTTCAAAGAGAGAATCCAGGTTTGTGTCCACCTTGGGAGACACAACTCTGCCACTAACTGGCAGTGTGAACTCAGAAGGGCACATCATTGGAGAAGCACACAGTTTTTTTTTAGCAGTTAAAAGGTTTCTAAAGATATTGTTAGTCATGTGTCACTTAACAATGGTGATACCTTCTGGGAAATGTGTCATTAGGCAATTTTATTGTGGGAACACCATAGAGTGTATTTACACAAACCTACATGGTGTAATCTACTATACACCTAGGTTATATCAGATAGCCTATTGCTCCCATGCTACAAATCTGGACAACATGTTACTATACTGAGTACTGTAGGCAATGGCTACAACATCATGAGGCAATAGGAATTTTCTAGCTCCATTATTATCTTATGGGACCATTATATATGCAGTTGGTCATTGACTGAAACATCACTATGCAGTGCAGGACTTTGTAAGATTCTATTGTATTTATCTATGGCAATTCAAATTTATTAGATAAAAATAGTATTATAAAGGAAATACATTGGTCTTGGATCTTCCCTGTTATTAACCTTTGGTCTTGCCTCCCAGATTGTAATGACTGCTCAGAGATTTGTGTCTCTTTTTCCTTGCCAAGACTCACAGGAGTGGCCAGGATGTTCTGTGAACTTGTGCATTACAATGTGACCAAAGTCATTGGCTGTGCAAGAAATATACTGCACAAGAATAACAATCCTATATTTAGAAAAAAAAAATAACTTCAGCCAAAGCTTTAAATTTCTTGACCCTTATACTCAGAATGTTGGAAAAAACATTGTGATGTCAAGAAAAATAAATTACAGTCATCCAGAAAAAGAAGTAAACATAATAAAATTGTGTCCTTATTAAAAAACAAAAAGTAGAAAAGAAATTATTGATTAAAGAAAAGATAATGAAAACAAAATTCATTATTGCCAGAATATCACGGAAGACAGCTCCTGGAGGAAGGAGAGGAGACTCATAATTGCAATTTCCCCAAATTAGATGGTGAAACTATGGGGGGATAAAGCTTCAAATTATAGTTTTCAGAGATTCTCTAGTTTCAAGATGGGAACATACCAAGTGTGGTCTTAGTGCTTATTCTTTCTTTCTAAAGGCAAGTCTTGCTAGTGGTTCTTTTATGGGCATAACAACAGTAGTCACTTTTTCTTCTAAATATCATGCCCCTGAGCCAGAATTATGTTGGAGCTAAATGTGCTAATTCAAGACAGCAGACTATGCTCATATGTTCCCAACTGCTTGTTCAATGAATCACATTGGTGGCTTATAGTCAGCCAAGGTAGGAGCATTTACACAATGGAAATTGGCAAACACTCACACCAGCCCTCCCCACCAGAGCCCACTGTGGAAGTTTTACCAGCATACCACTGTCCTGATCCCATAAACCCTAACCCATCTACCACTGCTCACTCCATCTGCCCGCACGGCCTGAGTGATGATGCTTGCACATCTCTCCTGAATGTACCATTTTCAAATAAACAAATGCCATTTTGAGACAAAAGTAAACAAGATTGGAAACTTAAATTTAAGCATTGCTACCCACATGGAAAACAGTGACTATCTGAAAACAATTCCACGATAGGCTTAGGATTTCTCGTTATGACACACTTTCCTGTAACAACTCTTTTCATTTGTATATTTTTTTAAATGTTGACAAAATAACCTCTATAGTTTCATTCCCATTTCATTTTCACAATATTACTTGGTAGCAATGAGTAACATTCCATTTAACAAATTATCCCCATTTAATTACAGCTTAGAGAGTTTGTCAGTTGCTCAAAGTCACAGAGAGCTTCATTAATTGGCTTCTGATATGTCTTTTTTTTTCTGTGTTGTCATTGCATAGGACAAAAATAATTCTGATATGGATTTTAAATATGCTAATTATAATATTAATCTTTATAACCATTTACCTTGATATTTAGAAATGCAAACTATCATTATTATTATTTATAGCATTAAAAAATTGTTTTGGACTTAATAACTACCATTGAGTGCTTATTACGTGGCAGATTTTGTGCTAAGCTCTTTATATACATAGCTTCATTCAACACTACAGAGAAATGATATCACTCAGTTTACATAAATGAACTGAAGCTTAAAAATGATAAAAAATTTTCTCAAGATTATGTAAAGAAAGACAGGGGTTTGAAACATGGCACTTATTCTATATACTTTGAGTTGCATCAGTCTGTTAATATTGCTTCGCCAACTATTTGATGGTTGCCCTATTCAATCTCCTTTGGAAGAGTTTTTTTTCTTAAATTACTTTAAATGCATTTTACTCTGCAATCAAATATCCTTAAGACAATTCATATCTCACAGTTATTAATTTTAATAATCTTCCTTTATTCATGGCTTCCATCATTTATATATTCATTCAATGTTTATAAAAAAGACAATGGCCACTCATTGTTTAGTTAATTGGCTCTAAAGTCAGACTAGCTGAACCTAAATTCTAACTCTCCACTCACTTGCAGTGATGCATTATGTAAATTACTTATACTCTTCTTGTATCATTTTCCTTCTACGAAAAATGGGGATAAAGTGGGATCTCCCACTGGTTTTTGTATGGTGATTAAATAAGTGGATACATACAAGGTACTCAGAATAGTGCCTCTCATACAGTGTTAGTTCTTACTAATAATTAGTATAGGTAGCACCCATATGCAAAGAATGTTCAACTACTCAGAAATTGTATTTAAAAACTTAAACTCTGCTCTTAAACTTTTATTCACAAAGCCATGCTTCATAAGTCATAGGGAAAAGGAAAGATCTAGCTTTCTAGTTTGATGTTAATTTGGAAGAAAATGTTGCATAGTGAAGGGTTTGTTAGATTGAATATTACTTCTTCAGTGAAAATTTAATTAGCATCTCTTTGAGCTTCCATTTCCTATTTTATAAAATGGGACTATTAATATCTAGCTCACAGAATTGCCTACAGGACTTCTTCTCAACCTTTTACAAATCAGAAGTATGGCAAATAATCCCATGTGGTAGCTCACTGGCGGGCCTCAACTTCAGGCCCCGCTGGCTCTCACCATCTTGGCCCACTTGAAAGCCATTCCCTCGAGCCCCATAGAGAAGCTCTGGCCCAGGGAATCACATGTGGTGTAGACGGATGGCAGAGCGCTTGGCAAACAGAACACACCATGTTAGTTCCATGTTATTAGCTCAAATTAATGAGCCTCTATTGTATCTGATGAAAACTCATGAATACTACAGAGCCTACATGGTGTCTGCGTGTGCCATTTTTGTCACTGTGTTTCATTCTGGCCTGACTATCTCACTCCTTACTATTCACCTCTCATTTCCTGTGAGCTAGGAAATCCATTTATCAAGTGTTGGAAATTATGCCACAAATGTTAGCAATGCTAAGAGCGGAGCACTCTCATTAGAAAAATAGCAGGAATCATAAGAAACAAAGAAAACTTTTGTTATTTCCCATCATCATTCAGAAATGACACTTTGGGGCTGGTTCTTCTCTCGTGCACTGTACAGTGAACTCCATGCATTTTCTGGACACTTTCATAGTGAAAAGACAGTCATTTTGTTCTCCAAATTGGACTCCATTTAGTAATTAAAACCACATCTTGTCCGATGCACCAGTCTCATCTACGAATGCGATTAAGAGGTAAAGATCTCCTCGTCCACACCGTGGCTCTGCTCCAGCACGAAGCCTGCAGTGGAAACGGGCTGTGGTTGCCTCTTCTCATTTTGACTCATCCTGATACTGGCATGTTCTTCTTTCTCAAAGCCCTTACAAAGCTTCTGTGGAGACATCTCCCCTGATTCCCATGACTAAGAACAGAACTTCAGTTTCCAGCTGACTATTTATGACTCCTCTCTCAGCCCCTGTGCATCTAATCTAATTTTGACCACCTCTGGCATCGTTCTCATGAGGTCTTTCTGCTCCTTCAGGTGACCCTTTCACCCAAGGTCTAAGACAGTACCTCTATTCATCTCAAATATACTCCATAGGTGCACAGGAAACACATACCTTAGAACTGCAGTCAATGGCAGAACAGTTTCTTTGCAAAACATAACCCCCACTCTGCTATAAACAGTGACTTCAGGCAGCTTCTCACATTTGGGATTTCTCAGGTTAAGCCATCAGTTCACTTTGTCCTTCAGATGCAGGAGCATAGCAAGTTCTTTTGGTGGTCAAAGGAATCCCTGTCCCCAGTCTGGAGGTGAACCAACAGCCCTATTCCTTCACTGTCGCTTGGGGTTGTAGATGGGGTGGGCA